ATTTATTATAAAATATATAATAATATATATGAAATTATTTAAATATATTTTTTTATATTTCAATATTTTTTAATTAACAAAAACTAAAAACCACGAAAATTTAAAAAAATACAAATTAATTTATATGTACAAATAGTTAGAAATGCCATTAGAATTTATTATTATTTTGTTAGAGGTTAGAAATTATTGTATTATAGATTAGAATTGATTATGTTATAAATTAGAATTTATTATTATGTTAGAAGTTAGAAATTATTATGGTATATATTAGAATATATTATAATTTTCATGTTCATTTAGTTAAATTTAATTATTTATTAGTTTAAGATAATAATAAGTTTAATTAATGATAATGTGATAAAGCATGTATCATTACATAGTGAAAGTGTGTTAAAGCATGGATCATTTAGTCCCACATTGATTTTGAAAGTAAAAAAGAATGCAAAAAGTAGCTATAAAGGTTTGAGACAATCCCACATCGATTACAAACACAATAACAAAGGTCAAGAGTGGCTATAAAAGGTTGGGAGAGTGAAAACTTTGATTTGCAATTATCCCACATTGAATGAGAAAGTTCAGTGAAAGGCAAGGAATGGCTATAAATATTGTAGCAACTTGCTTTAATAATTATTAATTGGTTTCTTTGATATTTGATAATATTAAAAAATTATATAGTTTTTAAAATATTTAAATTATATAAAAAAAAATGAGCCGGCCACAATTAAGGGCCGGCTGGCTGAGGGCCGGCCGCGATTATGGTGCGGTCGCGCGAGTTGCGGCCGCAATGCGGCGAGCCACCACTGGCCGCAATCAGCGGCCGGCCGCGCGAGTTGCGGCCGCAATTATTAGTGGCCGGCCAGCATAAAAAAAAAAAAAAATTAAAATATTTGTTCTAGTCCAGCCGGTTTGACCGGCTGAAACCAGCCCGTTTGACCGGCCGACCCCCGCATGACCGGTCTTGTTGGATAGTATTTTTTCGTCCGAATTATTTGGAGGTATTTTCGGAATTTTTCGTTGCTCGGTTCGGCCGATAAATAGGTTAGAAGGTGGGACATTATTTTTTAAAAAAGAATAAGAATAAAGGGCAAAATTATCATTTTAGGGTGCGGTATTAGTAAAATGGGTACGATATTTAACAATTCAGTTATATATATGACTCGAGAAAACCTATTTAATTCCAATTACTTTTGCTATTCTTGTTCCTTTATTGTTTATTCGTCCCATACGAGTTCTTTTATTTTATATTTATTCTAAACCTAACTTGGTTAAATATGTGACAACTACTTTTTATAAGAAACAGTACGTGAACGTCCCTTGTTCCTCTGGGTCAAATCCGCCCATTGACCGGCTCCGATGAGGGCCTATTGACTAGAATTTCAGTTTCAAGCCTAAAAACTTTTTTTAATCCAACTCGTTGGATGCTCGAAATATTGAATTTTTGATCTAGTTTTGGGTCTGAAACCTCTACGCTGATATCGATTACATATTTAATCTCAACCGTTGAATCTTGCAGCCATTACAAGACCGACGATCGAGATACACTCGATTCGGCCCACCGTCCCAAAACCCAATAAATCAGTTTAATAAAATTTGATTTTGACTTTACTTTTATAAACACATGAACATGTTGGGCTAGGTTGGGCTAGTCTGGAATCAGACGGATTCCTGAACATAAATCTTCATATCTCTGGGCGTTTATGATCATAGACTTTCAAGACCGTATACCGACCGGGTTGGGCCCATGGCCATGTCTAATTGAGAAGAAAGTAATTCGAACATGATGTATAATTTTTCTATAACTTAAAAAAGTCAACTTCCATTGTCTTTTTTTTTTTTTTTTGTATTTTGCTCTTGTTAAATTGCTATCCGTGTTTTAACACTACTTGCGCAAAATTTCGTTGTAGGTTCTCAGAAATTCATTTCCCCATGTAGAGTTAAAGCCGAGTCACCAAGTCCAAGTTGTCAGCTCAAACATGTAACATAATGGACAAAAAGTCGCGAAATCAACTTCCTTTCCCTCATCTTCCCACTTATCTAACAATCAGTAAATCAAATAAGTTAAAAATTATTTTAAATCACCTCCATTATTTTCTTTTCCACTATTAAAATAAAATTTTCCCTGCCAAACACAAGTAAACGTTAAATCAACAAGAGTAATGCTACATAGCCAACTTGACAACATTGTCTAACTATTAGTCTGCTCATAATTTATTTAACAAAAATATATATTTATACTTTTATTTTATTTATATTATTCATTGAAAAATTGAAATAGCATACATATTAGCTCAAAACTATGAANATATAACAAAGAGAGAGAGAAACTGTGGCCTTTATACGCCTATAAAAAGCTCACACATCATTTTCTCAATCCCAAGAGCCTAAAACAAACATCCAATTTGAAAAAGCAAATTCCAAAAATGTCCAACACCTCATCAGAATCCAAACTTGCCACCGCGAAAACCATCCTCTCCGCCGTCGGCTCCGCCGCCGCCGCCGCCGTCCTGATCCGCAGCATCGCCCACGACCTCCTCCCGCCGGAGCTCCAGGAGCACATTTTCTCCGGCATCCGCCGCCTCCTCTCCTCCTTCTCCAACCAGCTCACCATGGTCATCGACGAGTTCGACGGCCTCGACCCAAACGACATCTACCAGTCCGCCGAGTCCTACCTCGGCCCCAAAATCAGCCCCAACACCCGCCGCCTCAAAATCAGCCGCCCGGAAAAGGAAAACCACTACAAAATCGCCATGGAGAAGGACGAGGAAATCGTGGACAACTACGCCGGCGCGGAATTCAAGTGGGCGTGGATTTGTACGAAAACCGAGACAAAATCATTCTACAACCCACGCGACATGAATTCCACCCTCAAATCGGAGGTCCGCTCGTTCGAACTCAGTTTCCACAGACGGCACAAGGATTTGGTCGTGAACTCATATTTGCCCCACATCGCGGCCGAGGCCAAGAGGGAAAAGCTCGAGAAACGGACGCTCAAGATCCACACACTCGACCAAGAGAAGCTGATGTACGATGACGTCAACAACGTGTGGACGCCGGCGACTTTCGACCATCCGGCGACGTTCGACACGCTGGCAATCGATCCGGAGCAGAAGGGGATGATTTTGCGGGATCTGGAGAGGTTTCTAGGGCGGAGGGAGTTTTACCGGAAAGTGGGCAAGGCGTGGAAAAGGGGGTATTTGCTGTACGGGCCGCCGGGGACTGGGAAATCGAGCCTGATTGCTGCCATAGCCAACTATCTGAAGTTCGATGTGTACGATTTGGAGCTGACGGAGCTGCAGAAGAACTCAGATCTGAGGAAGCTGATGGTGGGGACGGCCAATCGGTCGGTGCTGGTGGTGGAGGACATCGACTGCACAATCGATTTGCAGGAAAAATTGGCTAAAAGGGACGCGTCTCAAGAGCCTCGGCAGAACTCGGATGACGAAAGCAAGGTTAGATGGATTTCTGTATATTTTCATCAAGTTTTTTCTTTTACATAAAGTTGGTTATATATAGTATTTGTATTACAACAATAAATTTGACTAATATTTATTAAAACTAATAAAATAAGCTGTAAAACAAGTTTTACCGGTTCCATGGCTTACCTGGTATTTAAAGGATTGTTTAGTTGTAATTTTTTCTATTTATATTATACTTTTTTTTATTTGAATGGAATTGCTAAACAAAACGAGTCACTCGTAAATTCAACTCGTTAAAGCTGGAGCTGGACTGACTTGTAATGATTTTAATGAAGTCAAATCTTGGAAGTACCTTCATTCTTGCAATCATCATTTTCTCAATTAACACTATAAACACAAAACTCATCAAATTTTTCTTAAGAAATGCTAAAATCGTGCAAATATTATGCTCTCAACGTACAGGTGACATTATCGGGTTTCCTCAACTTCATCGACGGCTTGTGGTCGAGCTGCGGAGAAGAACGGATCATAATATTCACGACCAATCACGTGGAGAAGCTCGACCCGGCCCTACTCCGGCCCGGCCGAATGGACATGCACATAAACCTCTCGTATTGCAGTCCGAGTGGTTTTCGGCTGCTGGCCTCCAACTATCTTGGGATCAAAGAACACACTCTGTTTGGGGAAATCGAGGATTTGATTCGGAAAGCAAACGTGACTCCAGCTGAGGTGGCCGAGGAACTGCTCAAGGACGATGATGTCGATTCTGCCCTAAAAGGGTTGATTGATTTCTTTCATAGGAAAGTGAAGAAAAATGAAGAGGATGACAAGGTGATGAAAACAGAGTCAGAGTCAGAGTCAGGGGAGAAGAAAGAGAGTGGTGAAGAAAATGGTGGAAGGGAGGGAAATTTGAAAAGTGCTGACCAAGAAAATTGACAGTTTAATTATTAACAATTTTAGTTGGTGGACCAATAAATTGTTTTGCTGGTAATTATTACATATTTACAAATATTACCATGGACTAGACTAAGTATTAAGTGAGACTGCGTCACGAGTAGAACCACAAATTTATACAAATATGTGAATATGTGATATATGAAAAATGTAACTCCTTTTTTAAGGAAAAGTGAAAATATTTTTATTAAATATTTTATTAAATGGAATTAGCTAGCAATTATATATATATATAGATTTCCATTAAGTTGTTTTCAATTAAATGCGTATACGAGCCAAAAGTGAAAATATTTTTATTAAATATTTTATTAAATGGAATTAGCTAGCAATTATATATATAGATTTCCATTAAGTTGTTTTCAATTAAATGCGTATACGAGCCAGTGTTTTAATGCCCACACAATTAAATGCATACACACAATTTAGTAGTTTTCCACTTACTAATAGATGAAAAAAAATGCGTGGAAATTGGATACTAAATATCGTATTTAATTAAGAAATTAAAATAATAAAAAAAAATTAATGGGTGGAAGGCGAAGGACACAGACAAAAAATTATAATTTTTTAAAAATAATTATAATTGTAAATAAAAATTAGTGTATATAACTAATTATTTGCAAAAATTTCCGAGGTAAATTAAAAAACGTTTTCCGTGTGAAGATATTGTCGTAAAATTAATAATAAAGTTTTAACAACACCAAAAACAATTATAAGTTCAACATAAATAAGAATGATAAAGTATATTTTTATTATATTTTAAATCACTTTAATAAATATTTAAATATTACTTTTTTTTCCCTCAAAAATTATAAGTTCAACATAAATAAGAATGTTAAAGTATGTTGATGTCTTTATAAGTAATTTTACATGTTAACAGCTAATTAAAATAGCTAATTTTACCAAACATTCATTTACAAACCGTTAACACAATTCGCTGGTCAAAACAGCTAATGCAATCCGCTAACAGCTAACAGCTAACCGATTGATTGCCAAACAAGGCGTTAATCTATATTTGTGTATTTGCCCTAAGGAATATTCATGTTCGATAATCATGTAGCTGCCTACACTTGAATAAATCATAAATGTATTGAGTGAGAAGTCAATCTCGATGCTAAGTTCATATTGGAAATTAAAAAATGCTAAGTTTTATATTGGAAATTAAAAGGGTCATAACTAGCTAGCAGTCTTGCACACACTCGTTACAAAACTCACGAATCAAGTGATGATACTCATAAGCTTTATTAAGTTATGATTGCATGGTCGTGCATGTCTGCAATGCTTAGTGCATTAATTATTCCGTTATTCGTTCCATACTCGCTCTTAATTGTACAATCTAACCATCACTTTTTCGGGTATTTTATTACCTATTTTTCTCTTTATTTTCCAACAAAATATTATCTTGGATATTCCACAACCAACTTTAGTTGTTAGAGATACAAAGGATAATTTCTATCTTTTTAATGTCACCTCACACGCACAAAATGAGGTATGTGCCGAGATGCATTTAGAGGAAAATTCGTCCCTTCATACAGTTGCACTACAAATGTGTAATTGTGTGATATGAATTGCCTTTTTACTAATTCTTTACTTTCTTGTCCTAAAATGCTTCGTCCACTCGTAGTAGGTATATTTTTTATTTTCTTGTTGATATATTTGATAATAATATTTTTATATTTGATCAATTACAAGTCGAATCACAATTTTTTACCAAACAATATGCACAAATGCGGGTTACATAAGTTGTCCCAAACTTTTCCAATTTGTTCGGCCAAACACACCCTCCACTCCATAAAACTAAAGCCTATAGAATCTCACGCAAAATCACCCAACGAGGACTCGCACATTTTTTTCCCAAAACCCCCAAAAAAAGCCCTAAACCTCTCTCCTAGGGCCCAAGCCAGAGAAACAAACATGTCCACCTCACCCTCCAAACTCGCCACCGCCAAGAAAATCCTCTCCGCCGCGGGCTCCATCGCCACCACCGCCGTGGTTGTCCGCGCCGTCGCCAACGACCTCCTCCCGCCGGAGCTCCACGACCACATTTTCTCCGGCATCCGCCGCCTCCTCTCCGCCTTCTCCAATCAGCTCACCAGTCACCATGGTCATCGACGAGTTCGACGGCTTCGACCCCAACGACATCTACCAGGCCGCCGAAGCCTACCTCGGCCCGAAACTTTGCCTTAACGCCCGCCGCCTGAAGATCGGCCGGGGGGAGAATGACGAGCACTACCGAATCTCAGCAGAGAAGGACCAGGAGCTCGTCGACACCTTCGCGGGCCAGACGTTCAAGTGGGTCTGGATCTGTAGAGAAACCGTGGCCAGGAAGAATTTCTTCCACCCGCGTGACTATAACGCGACCATCAAGTCCGAGGCCCGCTCTTTCGAGCTCACGTTCCACCGCAAGAACAGGGACCTCGTCGTGGGTTCGTACCTCCCGCACGTCGCGCGCGAGGCCAGGAGGTACAAGCTTGAGAAGAAGACGATCAAGATCCACACGGTGGATTACATGGTGGGTGACGAGTGGGTCCCGGCCAAGCTGGACCACCCGGCCACGTTCGACACGCTGGCCATCGACCCAGAGCAGAAGGGGATGATTTTGCGCGATCTGGAGAGGTTTCTTGGGAGGAGGGAGCATTACCGGAAAGTGGGCAAGGCGTGGAAAAGGGGGTATTTGCTGTATGGGCCACCGGGGACTGGGAAATCGAGCCTGATTGCTGCCATTGCCAACTATTTGAAGTTCGACGTGTATGATCTGGAGCTGACGGATCTGCTTGGGAACTCGTATCTGAGGAGGCTACTGACAGCGACGGCCAATGGTTCTATTCTGGTGGTGGAGGACATTGACTGTGCCGGCAGTTTGGGCAATAGGGATGATTCTGATGAGTCGCCGGAATATGCTGGAATCGGGGGAGGAGAATGCAAGGTTGGATTATTCTGAAAACTCATGTATATGATTTTGAGTTTTAGTTGGTATGATTATCAAACATTACGTTACTTCTTGGATCAAATTTTTATACTATGATAGGTGCCAAAAGAGAAAGAAGGAAAATCATATTAGGGAATGGCTAAGGTAATTGTGGAACATCTTCTTGATTCATAGCAAATATTGTTTGTGCCGAGCATGATATTCGAAACCATAGTGCTATGAGAAAATCAGAAGCAAAAAACAGTACTGGAGAAAATGAATGTTGAATGTATTGGAAGAGCATGAAAGCATTTCTGGTACTGGAGAAAATGGAAAAAACGAAGGAAAATGGCGGGGAAGAAATAAAATCGATAAGATGTTGGCATTTTGTGGCAACATGTTACAGAGCATGCCAAGGTCATATTTAGAGACTTCATGATTGTCATTAGCAACATCTTGATTTTGATTTAGCTTTGTTTATTGCATCAGACCCTTTGTTTCATACAAATTCTTATCAATCTCTCCTAACAAATGCTAACATCCTGCTAAAAATCGTGTGACAGGTGACACTATCGAGTGTGCTCAACTATGTCGACGGCTTGTGGTCGAGCTGTGGGGATGAACGGATCATAATATTCACAACCAATCACGCTGAGAGGCTCGACCCAGCCCTTCTCCGACCTGGCCGGATGGACGTGCACATAAACCTCTCTTATTGCACTCCAAGTGGGTTTCGGCTTCTGGCCTCCAATTACCTCGGGATCAAAGAACACGTTCTCTTTGACAAAATCGAGGATTTGATTCGAAATGCGAAGACAACGCCAGCTGAGGTGGCCGAGGAGCTCCTCAAGGGTGACGTTGCCCATGTTGCTCTAAAAGGGCTGATTGATTTCATGCACAAGAAGATCAAGAAAAATGAGGAGGATGAGAAGGTGAAAACAGAGTCAGCTAGCAATAAAGAGAGTGATGAGGAAAATGGTGAAGTGGAGGAGGTTTTCGAAAAGCTCTGACCAAGAAAGTTGACTGTTGACTACTAGTGCTAATTGTGGACCAATTATTATAGTCTATGTAGGAGATAATGTTTTGCTGTTAATGACAAATTTGCAGGAGTTGCCCTTGAGTTTTAGTGTAATTATAGCAAGAGAGATGCTTATTGTTTGAATTCTATGTAGGAGATATTGTTTTGCTGGTAATGACAAGTTTGCAGAAACTACCCTTGGGTTTCGGTTTAATGAGAGGTGAGAGATGCTTACTGGTTAGAGTTGCAAATAGCTACAATTTTGTTTTGGTGAATTTAGTTAAAATCTCCACTTCAAAAACACAATCTTCATGATCAATAATACATCCATGTCTCTAAAGCCACCCTTTATTTAATCTTTTTTTTTTTTTTAATTGTTATTACTATTATTTTGTTTTTCCTTATAATTAAAAATTATAACTGAAGCAATGGCTTGAGATAGCCTCTTTGATGATGATTAATCATTATTGTTAATTTAATTTTGAGTCCATAAGCTTCTCATGGGTGGCCATTCTCATTTAATATATCTGTCTCGTACATCGCACGAGCTACTTAACGAACAAACTCCATTGAAATGACTCATTTAATATTTGTCTCGTATCCTAATTGCAATAATAATAACTAGTACAATATCCGTGTATTACACGAGTGTTGAATCAGAAAGCTTTTGTAAAAAATAATAAATTTTTTAATTTTTTAAAAACTAAAATAATTTAATTTTATATAAAACATTACTTTGGGTTTTATTAAAAGTGTCAAATTATATTTTTTTAATCATAATAATTAAACACTCATACATTAAATGAAAATGTCAACCCGTGTTGAATTTTTTTTACTTATATCATATAAAAATATCGATATTATTTACTATTACATAAATACAAAAATATATATCTTAAATAAATAAAAATAATATGGTGATATGTATATACATAAGTTTAGAATATGTTTATTTAATATTAAGAAAAATAGATTAATTTTTTTACTTTATTAGATGCCTAATACATCAAGTGTCGTATCAATCGTGCTTCACAGTTTTTTAACTTTATATGTAATTTTAGAATTTATATAAATAATTATTTATTTTTATTACATTGACGAAATAACAATTAGATTTGAAATAAATATCATTTTTAAAAGAATACATACCAATTTCTATTACTTTATAATATAATTTATAGTTTTATTTGATATAATTTAATTTAATTTGATAAATAAATTTAAATTTTATTTATAAGGATATATATTACTGTTTTGTATTATATATATATATTTAATTTAGTTTGATAAATAAATTTAAATTTTATTTATAAGGATATATATTACTGTTTAGTATTATATATATATATATATAAATAGTAAAATACAAACGAACTTCATAATATCAATTCAAATGCAACACACTAATTAAGATCTTTTTTCTTGACAATATTAACACTATTTAATGGATGTTATGGGAAACAATGAAGATGGGATTAGAAGAGACACTGGGTATTAGATAGAGAGTTAAAAATAGAAAAATATGAACAAAATATCTAAAACCTCATTTATTTTATCAATGACCAATTAAGCCAAAGTGACAAATAATAAAAATAGGAGGGAGTATATATTATTATAAATTTTAGCATGACACGTGTTACTTGTGCGACTTATATTTGTTATATTATAATAAGTTTTCTATCTTATAACATATAACTTTATTAAGCATAAATATATTAATTGATAAATAATTTTATTTTTTAATTAATTTTAATAAATAATTTTATTATTATTATAAGGATAAATATAATTTATTTATTTTATATATACAATATGGATGTAAAATCGAAACTCATCAAAAGATGATTAATTTGATATATTATATATGTAAAACCGATAAAAAATACAAAAGTTATCAACTTTTAAAATATATTTGCAATCCAATAGTTATAATATGAAATGATATTAAAATACAATTAATACAAATATTAATTTATATCCAAGTCTAAGCCAAATAAGATTTCTAAGCATGAGAGTTTGCCATGTAGGTTCAACACATTTTGAAATTATATCCAAGCCTAAGCCAAAAGATTTCTAAGCATGAGAGTTTGTCATGTAGGTTCAACGCATTCTGAAATTATATATAGAGGGAATAATAATAATAATAATAGTAAAATGCAACATAAGGTGTACTAAGTTGTCGAATAAACCATCTTCATTAGTGTGAGTTTTTAATGTGGTTATCTGATATTCGCATACTGGTGGGTCGTTCGGCACTATTACCTGTAAGGTATTTAAAGTACTGGTAAATAACTAAATACTAGTACGGAGCCCGTGCGATGCAAGGAATGCATAATTTTAAGGCTATTTATTCAGGCTTATAATTATATACATGAATAAAGAAAAATGTACGGGATATATATAGTACGTGACCCGTGCGAAGCACGAGATATATTTATTTGGAGAATATTATATTATAAGATGTAATATTTAATAAAAATTTATAATACGCAAGAAATTGTACAATGTTCAATACAAGTTTTATAATATTCAAGTGGAGTCTTAAAGTCTCTTGTACATTAAGACTACTGACAAAATAATATTTTAATCAATGAGTTTCTTTTCCTTCCAAATTGTGAATGTGATTTGAGGAGTACAACAAATCGATATATAGCTGACTTGCTTTTTTCATTGTAGTTTTTTTTTTCTTTTTTTATAATGAATTTAAAGATATTCTAAAATATAGCAAAATTTATTTTTTTTATTACAACTAGGAATTTTACTAAATATAAACTCTCAATCTATGGTGTTAATCAACGTTTAAGTCTAAAAAATTAGGAATTTTTACCTCTTTTAATCAACGTTTAAGTCTAAAAAACAATAGAGTTATTATAAGTTTTTTTTCTACATCTTTTAATACATTACATATGAGCATGTTAGAGCTAGCTTGTAAAATAATTAATATATTATCTCACTAAAATATTTATACTAATAAAAATTTAATTTTAGCATATAAATTTATCCCTTGATATAAGAGAAAGTAACAGTTTTACTTATTGTTGTTCACCATATAATATTTAATTATTATTTTATTATATAATAAAAAAGGAATATTGTTAAATAGTGTAGTAGAATTGTTATAAAATTATATGATTTATTTTTTTTTTACAATATGGATTTAATATTTTTTTATGATTTGATAATATAAACAAATCTATACTTAACTTTGACAAATAAAACAAATAAATACTTTAGTAAGTATTTAATGTATATACTAAATAGAAATATATTTGGTATAATCAAATACCAAATATAATCAAATAAGTCAAAGTGTACATTTTTATTTGGTATTTGATTTTTTTATTATTAAAATCTTTTTATTATACTTATCTTTTTAAAATAAAACAAATAAATAAATTAATTAAATAAATAAAATATTATAATACCAAAATAGTAATGACATTTAATACAATTGATTTTTCTGGATAGTAAATGTAGTAAATAGAATATCCTTTTATATAGTATAATACGAAAATAGTAATGCAATAAATGCTGTTGACTTTTCTGGCTACTTAATTTAGTAAATAGTACCCCCTTTAATATAAGTATAGATTACAAATTTTGATAGTTTTATTTAAATACAATTAAACCTTTTTCTTAATCAAAGAGGAATAGTTATTATTATTATTATTATATTATATTAACGGAAAATGCTACAATCCCGTTACGGAACCATTCCGTTGGGATTGTAACCGTTAGATCATCAAGTAACCGTTACAAATCCCAACGGAATGGTTCCGTAACAGGATTGTAGTCTTACCCTATATTAACAATAACCGGCAGGTCCGACATTAGGGTTGATTCATTCAGCAAACCACAAAGTCGTTCCCATTATCTCCTATGAAAAAGCATAAGCAGGCGGCAGAAACCGAGGAGACTCTGTCCACAGCCATGGAGGATAGAATATCCCAACTGCCATTACATATACTTCACCACATACTATGTTTCCTATTCCAGGAAGAAGCTGTGAGTACTTGTGTACTCTCCAAACAATGGCGCCACATAGGATCAACCCGCCCCAACCTCGAATTCTCCCAAGAATGGTTCGACAGTTCAGAACAAAAGTTTGTCTCGGTCGTAGACCGAACCCTACAAGGATACCTTGATCAAAACCTCTCCGTACACAAAATCCATCTCGACTTATCGAAACCCGACTCACGACCGGCCGTCTCCCTTCTCGACAAATGGATCCCTATAATAGCCCTTAACATAAACGCTTTCAAACTCAATTTTCTTTCATCTTCTCCTGCGTATTACGACCTCCCCTTGGCATTCTTCTTAGCCGAGTCCCTCGAAGAACTACACCTACACAAATGCAGGCTGAGCCAAGTCGAGAGCATGCGGTTTAAACGTTTGCGCACACTCATCCTCGTGGGAGTCCAAGTCGATGGCCGAATTTTCAAGAAGATAGCTTCGGGATGCCCTTTACTCAGGCGCCTGGTCCTTTCTATTTGTTGGGGGTCGAGAAACGTGACGCTGAGCGAGGCAGCATCGCCTGGGCTCAAGCACTTTGCACTGTGTGATTTCGAGAGTATCCAAGAAGGGCGTAGAATTGAAATCGATGTCCCGAATATCGAGACTGTCTGTATCGCGGGCCCATGGGTTTGGTCTCACCGCCAAAGTGCATTCATGTTCTCTTGTCTCTCGAGCTTGCGTCTCTATAGTGTGATCCTGTCGAGCGAGTCATTCCACCTGTTATCGTTCCGCTGCCCGACTCTTGAGAGCTTAACCCTACATAATTGCTCCGGTTTTAAGGAATTCCGTCTTGCAAGTGATTCGGTCAAGTGGTTGACCATCTGGACCGAAGAAATATTGCTAAAAGGAGTTACGATTTGTGCCCCCAACATTGTCAGTTTTGAATTCACTGCCCGTATTTTCCAGGTGTCGACACATTCTCTTTCACGACCACTACTTCCGAGGAGTGGGATTCAAATGTAATCCTCACTTCGTATAAGGATGATCCCGATTTCGACGTCAATTGGTGGTTCTTTAAGCTGAGACGAATGCTCAAGGCACTAAGTGGGTCTCGGATTGATATGACTCTGCAGATGAACAGCGGCCCTCTGGACATGCCATGTGGTGCTGTTGACGGTAGTCGTCTTCTCAGTGACGAGCCGCCTGTGGTGGTGGAGAACTTGGAATGTAGAACTTTTGAATGTCACACGGAAGCTTGGTACTCGGACTTCACGAATGATTTGTTTCGTGTTTGTCGACCGAGGAAGGTATGGGGTTGTAGGCTCGTGAGCGAGTCGGAGTTTGCCAAGATCCACATGCTCTCAGAATTTCAGTTCAACATCTTGCTTGCAAATATGAGCTTGGGGACCGAGCCCTACTTTTGGCGGCATGATTTGGAGAAAGTGTGCGTGAACACTGTCGATGGGCAGCTCGTTCAGTGGACGGATCTTTCAGAATTGCGAAACAGGACGTATGACGAGTTAATATGCCTTAAGTTGAAATGGAGAGCTCAGACGACGACATAAGTACTGCAAACTCTCGACGCACTAACGCTTTTATTGAAACTTAAAATATAAATATCCGGTTTTCTTTCTCTCCAGTTGAAGGCCTAGGCCTATTTTGTATGCTGTGATAGTGTTATGAAGTCAGGTGAGGATCCTGGTTAAAAAAATCAAATCAATGTAATAATAAGAACAAAAATGCTGCACAGATATAAATAGACTGTACAAAGACGTTTTTTTGCCTTGACATTGGATTTGAAAATTAATATTGGACAAGTGAAAAGGTGTGAATTTTTTCTTTGAAATGTGTTAAATTTACATATAATTAGTTTCACATTTTCACAGTTTTGATACCAATCGTTCCAAAGTTTGTCTACTTATATCTAGCATCCTTAGACCACTAGAAGTCTTGGAGGACAAGGTAACCAAAATTTATATAAGGAAAGTATGACTGGCGGCGGCGACCAATGGGTCTATACTGGTGGTGGAGGACATCGACTGTGCCGGCAGTTTGGGCAATAGGAGTGATTCTGATGAGTTGCCGGAATATGCTGGAATTGGGGGAGAAGAAGGGAAGGATGGATTATTCTGAAAACTCATGTATATACTTTGACTTTTAGTTGGCATGATTTTCAATCTCTACAATACTTTCTTGGATCAATTTTATATACTATGATAATGTTGAATGTACTGGAAGAGCATCAACTAGCATTTCAGATGCTGGAGAATATGGAAAAGACCAAGGAAATTGGCAGGGAAGATTGATAATGTACATTGGTTTAAAATCGATAAGATGTTGGCCGCTTTGCGGCAACATGTTACAGAGCATGTCAAGGTCATAAATAGAGACTATGATTGTCATTAGCAACATCTTCATTTTGATTTAGCTTTGTTTATTGCATCAGACCCTTCATTTCCTACAAATTCTTATCAATCTCTCTTAACAAATGCTAAAATCGTGTGACATGTGACGCTATTGAGTGTGCTCAACTATCTCGACGGCTTGTGGTCGAACTGTGGGGATGAGAAGGTGAAAACAGAGTCAGCTGGCAAGAAAGAGAGTGATGAGGAAAATAGTGAAGTGGAGGAGGCTCTGGAAAAGCTCTGACCAAGAAAGTTGACTATTGACTCTTGACTAGTGCTAATTGTGGACCAATTATTATAGTCTATGTAGGAGATAATGTTTTGCTGTTAATGGCAAATTTGCAGGAGATGCCCTTGAGTTTTAGTGTAATTATAGCAAGAGAGATGCTTATTGTTTCAAACTAACCAACTTAATTGAATGTCTAGGTTTAATTTCTCTTTTTAATTCTTACCTTTTTGACTAATTAGGCAATTGAGCTTCAAACCATCCTCCTCCGACCTGGGATTTAATTTTCGTCTGTACTTGGTACAACAAATATATGCACAACACTTTTGCAACTAATTAAGTGATTAAACTCCAAATAGTACTCCTCTAGAGACATAAATCCGACTTGGTTTAACTTCCATAATAGGTAAAATAAAATATACATCAAAAATATCAATTTCATATCATGATTTGTTAATTATATTCGTACTTGAATATTTTAAGCACTCCTGATCTACTTCCTGTCGACTCACGCGATGACGGAGAAGACGAAGCCCTAGATCAATTTAAAAGACCGCGATGACGACCACTTAATTGCTTTGTTGACATACATTTTCAACCGTAAATTTATGGAGCCATTCATATCTTTATATATTAACACGTGTCTAATATGTATTTATTGCAGAACATGTGTCAATACACTATCTATATATATAATAAGAATTAACATTTACCAAAAATAGTAGTAAAAAAATAGGTAAGAATTTAATGCAGTCTATAAATAGTAAGTTTTATTATTTTTCTTATTTTATCTGTAAAATTCATACAACATTAAATGCTACCTTAAATTTCGGGCTATAGTTCATTTTATTATTTAAAAAATCCGGCTAAGATTTATTAAGTGTGTATGTTTTTATTTTTATTTTTTTCTTAGAAACAACGAACAAAATTAAAATCTCGGTCTTTATATTTATAAAACCTCAATTCAAAATATAACAAAAGTTTTAGAATCTCGGTCTTTATATTTGTGCCTTTAAAAAAAATTGAACGCTAAAAATATTCTTTAAATTGCATAATCAATCAATTAATCTTAATTTTTTGAAAATTACTATGTTTATTTTTTATTAATATGCATAAAGTAAAAATAATTAATTCATCTTAAGATATATAATTTATAATCTTAATATACTACCATTTGGTATAGACATTTATTAAATGAATCATAAAATATTTTTATTTTATAAAATTAAATATATTTATAGAAAATAAAAAAATTTCTTCGGATTAATCAGGTGATTGAATTAGGGTACTGCCCAGGTTGATTGAATTACTTTTAGGTGATATTTAAAATAGTCAAAAAACTTGACACAACTTGGTTGGTCTCAGGTGACTAAGTATTGAATCAGTTCGATCACACCAAATCGATTATTGAACCTAAATATAAATTTTATATTGAAAATATTTTATTACGTGAATGTGATGTAGTCCAAATTTCAAATAATCGTATTAACAATACTTTTATGACAAAATGTTTAATGATTTATGAATATTTATATATCATTTTATTAATAGTTATGTGAATATAAAAATGTTTTATTATAATATTTATTAATATACATTAAATATAAGGTTCTCAGAATTGGACCGTCATCGAAACGATCAAGCTATTTTATTAAATCATTTGTGGTTTGTTAGATTTTAATTTATAAACATTTTAATATATATATATATATATATACATATATGTAGTATTTTTTGTAATAAATTTAAACAAAATGTGTTACTTAGATATTTAAACAATTTATAAATTCAAATGTTTAAACTAATTGATAAATAATTTATAAATCTCTATTTTATTTAAATATGTAATTTTATTTAAAATAATTTTTAAATATAATAAAATTTATTTAAAAAATCGTGTCGATCCTAAAAATCCAACCAACTGGTGTTGACGGATTCAAAAACAAATATCTTATTCAAGTGAACTAGACTGGTTATAAATCGGTTATCCGTCCATCCGGTAGGACTGTGTCCAACCTGGTTTAATGTAAAAACAATACATATATCATGATTAATGTTATTTATATATTTAATTTATAATACAATTTTAATATTATTTTTCCGTGCATTGCACGGGCCACGCACTAGTTTGTGGATAACTATGAATGGCTACATAAGCCGAGCCATCCGATAGTTCCATAGCAAAACCGACATTTGCAAAATGTATGCACTTTATTATTATTATTAAAGAACTACGTTTTTTATCAACAGTAATCGGCATTTTTAGGGTTGATTATTTCAGCAGACCACAAAATGGTTCTCGGATCCCATTATCTCCTATGGAAAAGCAGGCGGTAGAAACAGAAGAAACTCTGTCCACAGCCATGGACGACAGAATATCCCAACTACCAATACCCATACGTCACCACATTCTCTGTTTCCTCTCTCAGAAAGAAGCTGTGAGAACTTGTGTACTCTCCAAACAATGGCGCCACATAGGAACAACCCGTCCCAACCTCGAATTCTCCGAAGAATGGTTCGACGACACATTCTGCGCTAGCTGCTCCTCCATACTGCGCCACATTTTCTATCACCTCCGCAGACCATGGCGCCACAGAGGATCAACTCGCCCCAACCTCGATTCTTCCCAAAAATTGTTCAACACTACACAACAAACCTTCGTCTCCGTAGTCGATCGAACCCTACAAGGATACGGTGATCAAAACCTCTCCATACACAAACTCCATCTCGACTTATCATGTCCTGTCTCACGACCGGTCATGTCCCTTCTCAACAAATGGATCCCGATGATACCCGCCCTCAACATAAAATCGGTCAAAATCAACTCTCGTTCATATACTCTGCCATATTATGGCCTGCCTTCGACAATGGTCATAGCCGAGTCCCTCGAAGAACTACACGTGAGAAATTGCAGGCTGAGTCCGGTCAAGAGAGTGTGGTTTAAAAGTCTGCGCACACTCACCCTCGAACAGGTCCAAGTTGATGGCGGCACTTTGGATACGAAAATGTTGGGCTGTCCTTTGCTCAGCCGCCTGGTCATTGATTTTTGTTGGGAGTTGAGAAACGTTAGGCTGAGCGAGGCGCCTGGGCTCAAGCACTTTGAATTGTGTGATTACATGAAGATGGAAGGGCGTAGCATCGAAATCGATGCCCCGAATCTCGAGACAGTGTCCATAAGCGGCCCATGGGTTTGGTCTCACCACCAAAGCGCATTATTGTTCTCTCGTCTCACGAGTTTGGATCTCTATAGTGTGATCCTGTCGAGAGAGTCGTTTGACTTGTTATCGTTCGGCTGCCCGACTCTTGAGAGCTTGACCCTACATAATTGCTCCGGTTTCAAGGAATTCCATCTTGCAAGTGATTCGGTGAAGTTCTTGCGCATCTGGACCACAAAAATATTGCTTATAGGAGTTACGATTTGTGCCCCCAACATTGTCAGTTTTAGGTTCACTACCCGTATTCCCCATGTGCCGGACACATTCTCTTTCACGACCACTACTCACAAGGTGTGGGAGTCAAATATATTCCTCTACTCGTGTCAGGAAGATCCCGATTTCAACGTCAATTGGTTGTTCCTTCGGCTTAGACGAATGCTCAAGGCACTAAGTGGGTCTCAGATTTCTCTGTTTTTGCAGATGGACGGCGGCCCTCAGGACGTGCCCTGTAGTGCTTTTCTCGGTGACGAGCCGCCTGTGGTGGTGCAGTACTTGAATTTTACTACTTGTAAATGCCACACGGCGTCATGGTACTTGGAGTTTACGAATGGCTTGTTTCGTGTTTGCCGACCGAGTCGCGTATGGGGTGGTAGCCTCGTGAGCGAGTCGGACAAGACGTACAGGCTCTCGGAGTTTCAGTTAAACATCTTGCTTGCAAGAAAGAACGTCAGGACCCAGCCCTACTTTTGGTGGCATGATTTGGAGCAAGTTCAGGTCAATGGGCAGCTCGTGCAGTGGACAAACCAGTCAGAATTGCAAAACAGGACGTATGACGGGGAAATATGGCTTTACTTGAAATGGAAAGGTCAGACAACGGCATAAGTACTACGCTCGCTTGCTGTTCTATTTACTCTCTCTCTCTCTCTCTCTTATTTTTAAGCTTTTCGTCGTTATTATCAGGAGCTCGTGAATCGTCTGATATCACATTAAGCTGCTAAAAAGTATATACAATGTAACAATAAGACCAAAAATGCTGCACAAATATAAGTAGACTGACAAATGATGTTTTCTTTGGCTGGTTTTGTAATATACAAATGGGTTTGAATTTTTCAATTGATACGTGATCATTTGCAACTAAAGAGTTTCACATTTTTCATGGTTTTTACCAAAAACTAGTCACTCGTAACCTTGAAAATTAATCTGAGTTGAATAGTAGGTGATTTGATCCAGTACTCAACAAAAATAATCCAGGTGAAGTAAATTTGATTTTTAGTGAGGAAGAGTGTTGAGCTTTTATATGTTCATACATGTGTTTATGTTGAAAGAGTTGGGAAGAAAATATTTTGGAGAATTTCACCATATCTGCATAAGAAGAGAAAGAAACAGGTGTTGGAGGACATTGACTGTGCTGGCAGTTTGGGCAATAGGGATGATTATGATGAGTCGTCGGAATATGCTGGAATCGGGGGACGAGTAGGCAAGGTTGGATTATACTGAAAACTCATGTATATGCTTTGAGTTTTTAGTTCGCATGATTTTCAAACTCTACAATGCTTTCTTGGACCAGTTTTATATACTATGAATCTATGATAGGTAGTAAAAAACAGAAAGAAGGAAAATCATGTTAGGGAATTGCTAAGGTAATTGCCCAACATCTTTTTGATTCTTAGCACATATTGTTTGTGCCGTGGATGATGTTAGAAATGATAGTGCTATGAGAAAATCATAAGCAAAAAACAGTAGAACTTTTTGGGAAAACTTTTAAGTTTAATGATAACTAGTACTAACACCCATGTATTACATGGGTGGGGACGGTGCCTCATCCCGAACTGTTCATGGGCCGATTCATAAAAGTTAGATGGGTATCCGGACAAGTCAAATCCAGGACCGTCCCGGACCGCGTCCACCCCTACCATAAATAATCAACATATTTATAGATATTTGAACTTAAATATATTTGGAATAGAAGTAAATTAAATCTATCCAAGCCTAATAACGAAACATGTAATTTTGTCACATAGGATCTCGAAGCATGTGATCCTGCCACATAGGCTCAGCACGTTTTGAATTAACTAGTAAAGTGCACGTGCGATGCACGTGGTGGCAAATGTTTTTCCCAATTAAGGTTAGTAAAATAAATTAATTAATTTATTAAAAATATCGTTGCAAGAATGAAATAAAACATAGAACAAATGAGCTCATAATGTAGAACAAAATGTAGAACAAATTAATGAAACAAAATATAGAACAAATTATTTTTTCTAAAATAACTTAACGATGTCCTAATATAAAAAGAATTAAATAACATATTACAACCCCAACAAAAACACTAAATAACTAAATAATGACTAATATATATTATACATGCATTAGTTCTTTTATTTGTTTATGTTAGATGATTCGATAGCGTTCTCTTTCATTTTGGTTTTGACGTCCTCATAAAAAGCATTATTGATTCAATAGTATTGCAAAATTCATCTTAATTCATTTGCCAAAATGTCTACTTTATTCAAACACTTAAGAAATATTCTAGCCAAACATATAGTGAAACTTCATAGTTGTATTATCTTTATATTTCTACTAACCATGCATGAATATATCTGCAAAATAACAGATCGTGTCATTAAAATTGTTGATTATTTTTTATCATTGTATAAACTATTAAATTAGTCTCTCTATATATATCGATAAATTGATACCTACCCCATGGATGTATCTCCCTACGGAAGGGAATGAATTTCATCTCTAAATAAAAGTTGACTATTCAAAATATCTATTACATGTATTTTTCCCGAGGTTTTTTTTTAAATCATCACACACTAACTAAAAGTTCATAGTATAAAATAATTGCACATATGTTCAAGCACAATACATCAATGAAATTATAAATATTTCTATAAGAAGTGTTAACTTCATTCAAATATTCAAAAATGTTTTGATCAGGCTCCAACGTTTCATTTTCAGTGTCATTTATTTGGAAGATAGACGAACTATATAATCTATTGTTTGCAAATCATTGACCATCTAGTTCTTGCAATGATTTTAGAATTATTTATCTTCATATCTTTCACATTCGTTTGGATTTGTAATATTTATGTGTCCAATAACTTTTTAATGCTTTTATCGTCCAACTTTATGCATCATACATAATACTCAAAAAACTCGAGATAAAGTTCCTTTCTTCATTCTTCACCAATGATAAAATCAAACAAAACAAAACAATGAGACAACATTGAGAAGCATATCATTTGTTAAAATATTTGAGATGAGAAGAATTAGAATTCTATTTTATGACTCTTAGTCATCTTTGAACGTTATTATTACGAAATTATTATTACAATCTACATTATGTATTATAAAGTTTTAAATATTTAATTATTTAAAATTCAAAATTGATAATATAGGATCATTATTTATGAGATCCAATTTCTTACAGAGTCCATATATTTAAACGCTAGCAACAAATAAAGTATTATTTTTAAAAGATTTTTTGTTTCTAAATATTGGTATTCATACTTGTCTAAGAATATTCAGACGTTTTCTTTTTTCAACTCCATTACTATTATTTTATTAGTTTTTTATTCTATTGATAAATAATACTTTATTTATTAAACGAATTATAGCACATTTATATGTATTACATCATTTTTTGTACGTGTTTCATATAATGACGTTGTTATCAAAATATCTTATTTATTAGACAACAACTAATATAATCACATAAGATAAAATAAAATTTAATATTACTTATTTATATATTTATAATAATAATATATTTGATAAAAAAATGTACTTTTATGCTGATTATTAGATTAAAAGGTTCAAACTTTATTAGTTTTTTATTCTATTGATAAATAATACTTTATTTATTAAACGAATTATAACACATTTATATGTATTACATCATTTTTTGTACGTGTTTCATATAATGACGTTGTTATCAAAATATCCGACCATAGTAGTTCTCGATGCTACCGCCCGCCTGCTTGCACCCGGACAAGTCGACCTTCAATTGTTGAATGCGAGGGCCGTTGACAGTGGTGTATCTCTCCCGAAGGGCCAGCCACAGATCGGGGACGTAATCAGGTTGAGAAATTGTTGATCGGACCGCCGGATCGATACTATTCATGACCCAACAGAGCAATAAGTGGTTGTTCGCAAGCCAATCTTCATACAGATCCGTCCCCGGCAGAGGACGAGGAATAGAACCATCGAGAAATCCGAATTTCTTTCGAGCACCAAGGGCCGTCCGTAAACTACAAGCCCATTCCTCATAATTTGTATCACCCTTCAATTGGACGTGAGTGATCAACAAACCGGGATTATCAGAAGAAGAGATGTCATAGGGGGAGATGGACCGTCGAACGATAACCTCGCCGCCTTGTGTAGGACGTTGGTCTGCCATGAATGACTCGTGGAAGAGAACAAATAAATTTGATCCAAAAAGAATTGAGATCCGCCGAGAAACCAATTGGGATTAACCCCTCTGAGCAAAGAATTTATATCCCTGCAACTAATTTAGATCCGAAATGAATTTATATCTCAGCAACTAATTCCAAGCAAAATAATGATTATATCTTAAGAAAAAGTTTTCCTTCCCGTCGCCCCCAAACGGAAAAAAAAAATCCCTACATCTTCCCGTCGCTAACCCCCTGAATTGACGCCTCTCTCGCGGCTTCCGGCCTCGCTGGTCGTCCCCCTCGCCGCCCGGCCCTCCTAGATGCCGAGACCAAGCTTTCCCCTGGAATCGATGGTCCTTGTGGTGCCAATTTCGATTTCTCTTGAAATTGAGTTGGGTCGCCATATCCGGCCACTTCGATCCTGAGGAGAGACCTTGGGTCGCGGAGTTTTGGGTCAGGGTCGGGTGCGGCTTCGGCGGTCCATCTTCTCCGGCTGGATGTTTTTGGGTTCATCCGGCGGCCCTTTCCCTTCTCTTGATTTCGACTTCAACGGCGTGCTTCCCCGGCGCTGTGGAGTGCAGGATCCGTAGGACTGCTTTGATCCTTTTCGCCGGCGGATTGGTGCGGAAGGCGGTGAGCTCTTGGTCGACGATTGGTCGGTTGCCGGTCTGATCGAGGGTAAGTTTCCTTTTAGCCGATCTTGTCTCGGTTTTCTTTGCCTGCGTCCGGCGGTGTTCGGTGGATAGAAGGTTGGGCACTTGAATGGCTCAGGTACCTTTGGCTTTCGAGAAGATGGGGCTGAGGCTGCGATATTGAGACAGCTCCTTTCCTCCGGATCCCTGTGTCGGGGTTTCGGGGTTCTCGGTTCATTTGAGCTGCTAGTGGTGTTAGGGGCTTGGTGGGCTGTGTTGGGAGTTTCTTGGTATTACTGGTTTGGGGAAGAATTGGCTTTAGGTGGGACTCGTGGCTTGAGTTGTGATTCAGCTAGGCTTAATTGCAGTGGAGGGGTCGTTTATCTCAAGCGGTGGGTGCCTCTGGGTTGATTTAGTGGCTGCTAGTCTGGTTAGGAGATGCTGTAGAGGGAGGGCTCGTGATTTGTGTTTTTAGTTGTTTTTTTTTTGGTTTTTCTGGTTGTGTCTGTTCCTGTGATTGTGTTTGTTCCTGTGTGATTGTGTTTTAAGTTTGGGCCATTGGTCTCTGTGCGCCCGGGTGTCAAATTTATTACTCCAATAATACTTTATTTATTAAACGAATTCTAGCACATTTATATGTATTGCATCATTTTTTGTACGTGTTTCATATAATGACGTTGTTATCAAAATATCTTATTTATTAGACAACAACTAATATAATCACATAAGATAAAATAAAATTTAATATTACTTATTTATATATTTATAATAATAATATATTTGATAAAAAAATGTACTTTTATACTGATTATTAGATTAAAAGGTTCAGATTTTTTTCCCAATGTTTGAGAAAAATATTAAGCAACTAACTCATTTTCATACTCATTGAATTTATGTGTTAGTTGAATAAAATTTCACATACAACTCGTTTATTTCTCCTTTTAATTCACATAGTTAATATTGGTGATAATTGTATATTTACATCCATTTTTTGTTTTTTCTTAGTATGAATTTTCGGATCTATGTAAGAAAAATATGCCACAAGGAACCTAATTCTAGCAAAAATATTTTATTGGAATCATGAGCAAATCTATGTTTATTTTATAGATCCGACACAACCCTCCATCCTAAAGCATATAGCGTAAGGAATCTAATAAAAATTTGTGGGAACATTTTTTCATAATTTTTATCATGTCCCCTATTTTAAAAATGAAATTGCAAGAAAGAAAGATACATAATGAATTAATTTACAACTCAACCAATTATAATTTAATTCAACTCATAACTTTATTAATGTTATAACATAAACGCGGCATCACAACTAAAGAAAATATAATATATCTCAAAATTATAATTTTATCCTCTAATTATATTATTTCAATCTTGATGACAGTTTCAAATCTCTCTTTTGCAACATATTTTTTTCTATATCTTCAAAATATATTTTTTATGTCTTTTATAACTAATGCAATGGGAATTCTAGTTATATATTCATAATTTATGAATTAATCAATTATATTGCCGAGTCAGCTATACTACAACATAGATTTTTTGTTTATAATTTTTTTTTAAAAAAAATATTATTTTCAATGATTTCTTATGTTGAATTGAGAAAAATCGTCATTTTTTTTATTACATACTTTTTAACTTAGTGTGACTGTACTGAAATGTTAGAATGTATTACAAGTGAAAAACATGACAAATTATGTAAAGTATAATTTATAAATTGTAATGACATTATGTTATTTTGATGGTATACTTTTTCTATTAACTATATAGTGTCCAGTATAAAATTATTTTGGATCCGCCACTGCAATTAATTTTCCAATGGAACTTCTATTAATTTTTTTACAATCTCAGTGACAGTTTTTTCAACGGTCGAAATACGATCCGTAAAAAAATTCAACAGAGATTCAAACAATAATAAATTATAGTAATTGGAATGATTTAATTCACAAAATTTTCAATGTAATTTAATTTGATCTCTATTGGAATAGTTAATGAAATTTTCCAATAAAAGCTTTACCAATGAAATATCCGTTGGAATTTTCTTTGGAATATCTTACAGATGCATTCTCCATTGCAATATACCGATTTTTTTTGTATTCTTTCTTAAACATTATATTTTAGGTAGTAGTTATTGAGTAAATGTGTTTACAAATTTTCTAATAACATACATTAAACTCATGAACCTTTTAATCCATATAATTTTTTAAAGTAACTCATTATTTTATCTCAAGATTACCTATTAAGTTCCCAATTGAGTTACATTTATTACATATTAAATGTTAAATAATTAAAATAATTATTATTTATATATTTAATATGATATATATATATATATTATATGTAACAAGCTAATAGCAAATAAATAGTAATTTAAAATTAGAATAATCAAGTTTTTTTTTTTTTCCTAACCTACATAGATAAAGGTAAAAATAACTATTGTATATCACCTAAAAGTTACATATAGAATTAATTAGTACAAAAAATAACAAGCATTTAACAACCCTGCTCGTTTACATTGATACATATAAGTTTTTAAAAGGTTTATGTTTACTTTTGTTAATTATAACATATTTATTTATTATTTTAATATTTATTAGTACGTATTACAACTTAGTAATTCTTAATATCATTTGTCAGATTTAATATTTTTTTTATTTTATATTGTTCTTTCATATGTTTTTAAATTTGGTATTTGCTTAAAAATTCATAATATTATGTATAGAACATTTTTTGTCATATGTGTTAATATATCAATTATTTGTATATCTTAATATTATATTATATACAATTACAGTTTTTTTTTTAATGTTATAATCAATTATTCATAATTTATAAATTAATTAACAATATTGTCGAGTCAACTATACCACCACATAGATTTTTTGTTCATAAGATTTTGAAGGAATATATTATTTTGGTCATATGTGTTAATATATAATCTATTTATATATCTTAATATTATATTATATACAATTACAATTTTCTCATTAATATTATAATCAATTAGTCATAATTTATAAATTCATCAACAATATTGTCGAGTCATCTATACTACAACATAAATTTTTTGTTCATCAGATTTTAAAAGATATATTTTTTTTCAATGATTTGTTTACTTTTAGTTGAGAAAAATTATATATTTTTTTGAATACTTTTAACTTATTGTAATCTGTAAAGATTTGTAAACATGTATTACAGATGAGAAAGATGACAAATTTTGAAAAGTAAAATTTAAATATTGTAATGACATTATTTTATTTTGATGGTATATTTTTTCTATTAGCTAAATAGTGCCCCCTATATGAAATTGTCTGTATCTATCACTACAATTAGCTTTCCAATGCAACTTTCATTGATATGTTCCCAAAAAGAAAATTCACACAAGAAATAAATAATGGTAACTCGAATCATTAAATCCATTAAAATTCTATTATAATATAATTTGATCTATGTTGGAATAGCCAATGATATTTTCAAATGAAAGCTATGCAAATGAAATATCCTTTAGAATTTTTAGTGGAACATCTTATCGTTGGATTTTTCATTGCAACATAACATTTTATTTTTTGCATTCCTTTTTAAATATTAAAATTTTTATGTTTGTAGTTTTTCTATTAATTGATTGCGTTTTACAATTTTTTTTATTAAAAATATATTAAACACACGAACTATATAGTCTATATAACTTTTTAAAAATCACTCGTTATTTTAACTCAAGATTACCTATTAATTTCTCAATTGAATTACAACCTTTTACATATTAATATTAAATAACAAAAATAATTATTATTTTATATTGTAATATGATATTTATATATTATATTAAAAAAACTAATAGCAAATAAAAAGTTATCTAAAATTAAAATAATCATTTTTTAAAATATTAAAATTTCCAACCTTCATGGATAAAATTACAAATAACTATTATCTATCACCTAAAAGTTACACATAGAACTATTAAGCACAAAAATATAAAAATAAATAAACAATTCGATTCATTAGATAAATATAACTTTTAAAAGTTGTATGTTTAATTTTATTAATTATAAAGTTTTTATTTATTATTTGTTTTCAAATTTATTAGCAAGTCTTACACCTTAATTATATTTTTAATGTTATTCATCAGATTTATTATTTTTTTACTTTCAAATCATTCTTTTATTTAGCACACATCTTGAAAATCAGTGGCTCATATAAAATAATAGTAATTAAAATCTCATGATATTTTACTTAATTATTGAATGTAAAATTCATATATTTTAAGTGTTAATAATTAAATATTACTCAACTTGATATTAACTATTTAATGGTCAAGTGAAAATTTGTTAATTTTATTCACTTTGTGACTAAAATTGAAAAAAACAAACAAACAAACAAATGACGATTTTTGTGGGATCAAAATTCCATCCAGTTAGACTAAAGTGCAATTTCTATTCTAATTCTAAATATAAGGGTTTACTTTTCTTAAATAATGAAGTAGTTAAATGAATTGTTCAACTTTTCTAGTTTGTCAGATAATATATAAAATTATATTAAAAACAAGGATTTTTTTTTTTTTAAAACAACAATTTTATATCTTTTCAAAACTTTATTGTTTAGGTTGATGTTAGGTTGATTTTGGGGAGATATGTGGAAGAAAGCATTTTTGTGAGAAATAATGGTGCGTGAATATTGTGTTTGATTTTTAGGAGATATGAAATGTATTGTTCAAATATTTGTATTTAAGTAATTAAGCATTAATTATTAATTAAAATTATGAGATATGATATGTATTAGTGTATTACTAATGTGTCATTAAAAACATGTTAAAGTAAGGATTTTTTTGGTAATTCATTTTTTCAATTAAAAATATAAAATAAAATATGTATTAATGTATTACTAATTTGCCATTAAAAATATGTCAAAGTAAGGTTATTTTAGGTAGTTCATTTTTTTACAAAAACACTCGTCCTTTTAGAGTAGTATAGATATAGATATAGATAGATATAGATATAGATATAGATAGATATAGATATAGATAGATAGATAGATAGATATAGATATAGATAGATAGATAGATATAGATATATAAGGGAGATGTTGAATGTACTGGGAAGAGCACATAAACCTCTCGGATTGCACTTCGAGTGGGTTTCGTCTCCTGCCCTCCAACTAGCTCAGGATCAAAGAACACGTTCTCTTTGACGAAATCGAGGATTTGATTGGAAATGCAAAGGCAACGCCAGTTGAGGTGGCCGAGGAGCTTCATAAGGGTGAGGATGCCCATGTTGCTCTAAAAGGACTGATTGATTTCATGCACAAGAAGATCAAGAAAAATGAGGAGTATGAGAAGGTGAAAACAGAGTCAGTTGGCAAGAAAGAGAGCGGTGAGGAAAATGGTGAAGTGGAGGAGACTCTGGAAAAGCTCTGACCAAGAAAGTTGACTATTGACTCTTGACTAGTGCTAATTGTGGACCAATTATTATAGTCTATGTTGGAGATAATATTTTGCTGTTAATGACAAATTTGCAGGAGTTGCCCTTGAGTTTTAGGGTAATTATGGCCAGAGATGCTTATTGTTTGAATTCTATGTAGGAGATATTGTTTTGCTGGTAATGACAAATTTGCAGGAACTACCCTTGGGTTTTGGTCTAATTAGAGGTGAGAGATGCTTACTGGTTAGAGTTGCAAATAGCTACAATTTTGTTTTGGTGAATTATCATCTTTACATTCTGGATTGGGATATTTGTGTATTCTTTTTGTTTAAAGTTATTGTCCATATTGCATGCATCATGGATATTCTTACGAAAATTTTGTTTTTTGTTTTTTGTTTTTATTATTATTTTTTTTTAATTTAAAAACGATAGATATCAATAAAACGAATAAAAAGTTTTACAAACCAAGGAGCACCAATCTCAAAAAACAAAATACAAGGAGGCCTAGAAGCTACACTAAACAAACTAGGCATAAGGACAAACGGGTATTGATTTAAAATATATTGAGGAAATTACACCCCAAACGACCCCACAACATTTTTTTTACACTATTATCAGCCAATTATAACTACTAGCAAGTATACCATATTTTACAAATTTATTTGCAAAGTTACGAGACATCTATTAAGAAACATAAATATATTATCATTAATTAACTCTAATCTATAATTATATTATAGGGGATACCATTTAATATTTTTATCAGGTTGAAAAGTCAGCTCAATTAATGCATTACTATTTTAAGAAACAGATTATAATATAATATAATAATTTTTTTTTTTAATTTCGAATTCAAAATCTGCCCATCAGTAGATATCTAACGCGTGCGTGGATTAGTGTTGAATCTTTTTTACAAATCTTCTTCCCAAATTAGGCCAGATTTGACGCGTAATATAATTTCTTTTTTATTTCGAATTCAAAATCTGCAGTAGATCTAACGCGCGCGTGGATTAGTGTTGAATCTTTTTTACAAATCTTCTTCCCAAATTAAGCCAGATTTGACGCGTACAGTTGTTTAGAATTTGAGGCGTCCAGTTGTTTAGAATATTTTTTTTAAGCAATTATAAATTATATAAATAAATTATATAAACAAGATAAACGAGATTCCGATCTGATAGTGTTTAATCTTTTTTAAAAATCTTCTTCCCAACTAAAAACATATTTGACGCGTACAGTTTTTTGGAAATCTACAGATAATTATCTGGTCTGATTTGTTACTACAGATAATTGTGTCGAATTGTTTTAAAAAGCAATTATAAATTATAGTAACGATTTCTTATCTGATTTGTTACTACAGATAATGATCTAATGTGATTTGTTACTACAGATAATTAACTGATCTGATTTCACGTGTGATCTAAATTCTTTAAAAGCAATTCAACGATGCAATTTAAATTACAAATCTCCCAACACTGAATCAACCATTTTATCTCCTTGGACCTTCTGCGAAAAAAGAAAAAACAATCAAACAATGAATCAAGGATTGGACCACACTTCGGAAAAACCCCCAATTCCTCTTGCGATAAAAACCCTTCTTCCTCAGCTCACGCAATTCCGGCGAATCTACCTCCCTCGGCGTCGGTGAAGCTCAGCCTGAGGTCATCCTAAACTGTCCTCTCCCTCCTGGCGACATGTGCCCTCCTCTCACCTTCGGATAGTTTTGGCGACGAGGCGGCAGGTCCGTGGTTTCAGATGGAGTCGACGACAGGGGTGGCGCTTCATCGATTTCGTTGCAAGGCCGGAGATCGGAACCTCGTTCCATTCACTGGAGGAGCTGCGACTCTGATGGTAAGTCCCGTCTTTCTTCCCTCTGTTTGGGATTGCCGGATTTGGTCGTTTCTGGCGGCGCTTCTCCTTTTCTGGCGAGGCCGCGCCTTTTGTCGTGGGCTGTTTGAGGTGGTGCTGGGTGGCGCATGTGTTGCCAGGTGGGGTGGGTCCCTGATTACTGCGGCATCCCTTGTCGTAGCGGTCGAGGGGAGGGCTGTTTCTCTCTCGCTCTGTTCTCCGTCGACTAGTGGTGTTAGGAGGCGTGGGAGGTCCTTTCGATCTCGTCTAGTGGTGTTAGCAGAGTGCGAATGGATTAGGTGTGAGATGGACCACGCTCTCTCGGTCATGGATGGGTCGATTCGGGGACTGGTTCGGGTTAGATTTCTACTACTGTATAGGCTTGATTGCAGTTTCGGTAGCAGACTCCTGGCCGGATTTGTCTTGTGTTGATCGTTATCTGATGGTTCGTGCTAGCTCGTTCGTCGGGGAAGGGTTGTTAGTTATTTTTTATATTTTGTGTTGTTTTTGTTCTGTGTTTGTCCTGTTTGTGTTTGTTTTGTATTTGTGTTTGTGTTTTAGGTTTGGGCGGTTGCCTCGGTGCATCCGGGTGTCAAATTTATTATTCTGTGGGGGTCCGACACCCGGATATTACCCTGTGGGGGTCGTGTGTTTGTGTTGTTGTTGTGTTGTTTGAGTTGATTTGTTGTATTACCCCTTGGGGGTCGTGTCTAGTTGTTTTAGTTTTGAGTTTCTGTTCTAGCATTTGCTAGCCGGGTTTCTAGGCGGTCTCATGACCTGTCCTCCCACTTTTCAGCCTTGGGCTGCTTGTATTTGCACATTTGTGCGCTTTTGTTATATAATATTGTTTATTGTGTTTTTGTGTTTATTTTCGTGTGTTTTATGTGTTTTAGTTGAGTGATTTTAGGTCCGTTTTAGTATTGACCGGTCTATTTTATCGTGTTTCGTGCATTTTTGCTTTCGTTTTGTAGATTTTGTCGTTCGGCGTATTTTCTTGTCTTTTTGGTGTTGTTTAGGTCCACATTATTCGAGTTCGGGAGGAGGAGCCATTTTCGAGACATTTCCGAGCCGTCTGAACCATGTCCGAGCCACGCGAACCATTTCCGAGCATATTTATTAATTGCGGGGTGACATCTATTTGCGCATCTCAAGACGAGGAGAAAGAGATTTGAGGCGCGTGGGTCAAAGTTTCGGGTCAATCGGATAAGCGTGCGAGAAGTTAGAGCAAATCGAGCTGCTAGAGTCGACCGACCCGACCCGCCCGAGCCGCCCGAGTCGACTGACCCGACCCGACCGACCCGTCCGAGCCGACCGACCCGAACGAGCCAACCGAACCACCCGAGTCGTCCCGGGCCATGACTGGGTCCGGACCCACGCACCGACTCTCGCCCTCGTGCCAAGGCCCGCGCGCACGCAAGCCCTGCCCCTGCCCGCG